GGAAGTTAATGAATTAAAATAATTAATTCTTTTAGTTAACGCATTATGTTTACCTCTTTATTTGTTGTATGCAATAAGTATCGACCTTACTAATAATGACTGTTTGGTTGTCACACCTGTGCATGTGTCGTGCGAGGTACAGCGGTAAGGTAAATTACCGAGAGTCGCGATGTGCGGGGTGATTCGGAATACCCTAAATGACGGTGGTCCATTGAATTTCTACTAGTAAATCAACCTGCCAAATCTAACATGGGCCCACATAATACGACTAAATTCGTTTCATGAATGAACTGGTTCTTAACAAATACATGTACAGTATACAATATCTTTTCTTTAGATCTGTTTGTTTATTATTTTCAACCACAATCTGCAGTACATGTATAGTTACACGAAATCCATGCACAACGGCGCTACACCTGTCAATCAAAATCTCTCGATATTGTGAACTCAGTCTGGTGTTACGGCAGCATTTCCGAAGTGATTCAAAATTCTATCGGCTAATTCTAATTTTTCGCGTTGAATAATAATATTTTGGAACAAAGTTGGAATTAAGGCTGGAGCTGCATGCTGTGAATTTATCACACCTGCAGTCTTCCCTTCTTACATGTATATGAAGCATCTGTTGAGTAATGAATCAGAGAGCATAATATGCGGAACAAGTTTGATTGAGATTTTTACTTTTCCTTTAAGATAAAATGATTAATAACATAATTTATGCATCTAATAGATACATATAAATGTACATGTATAGCTTTTTAAAAACAAGAATCTGTAATTGAAAATGTGAATTAAAGTGAAGAGTTTAGGTAATAGTTCTTAACCAAAATTTAATGAAAGTTCATTCCTTCCTAGTCTCTATATAACTTTTAATTACGGCCGTGCCCTCTCCCCTTCAAAAGATGTCTAATACATGCTTTTAAATTCTGTTTATGTATCAAGAAATTTCCACAGGTACTTGTGGACAGGATCCCCCCCCCCCCCCCCCCCACGATCACTGGGAAGAACTCAAAGAAAGAAGACTCTTGAGGAAAAGATATTTTGATTCGACTTATAGACTGAAATAAACCGATATTCTCTTTTTGCCACTCTTTCCTGGTGCCCTGGGACTCTGAATGTACGATCAGTATTTTTCTCACAGGTCCGTTGTACGGATTGTACGGGGGGGGGGGGGGGGGGCAGACCTTCTGAAAATAGTCTTTTGTTGTAGTTTTAATATGTAAATTTTGATTTAGTTGCTGCTTGCACCCTCCCCACTCTTTGTTTCTCTACGATCATACATAGGCGAATCCCAGCAAAAATGTAATGACCCCCCCCCCCCTCCAACACACACTTTTTTTTAAATGTGTATTGCGATAGGACTTAAAATTGGAAAACATTTTCTGTATATCTCTACATCGAAAAATATAAAACAAATATTTTTTTTTTATATTTCCTTTTTAAAACAACATAGGTAATTATGCATAGCTAATTAAATACTGAATTAAATATTTATCTTTGCAGACAATATGCTCTGGGTTATAGAACATGATGTGAAAGCGTATCGTAATGCACCTTGTAATCCGTTGGATTTTCAGATTTAAGGCCAATGCGAAAACCCAAAGACGCCGACATTTTATTATGCTACTGTAATCGAAGATCCGGGGGGCATACAGTTTTTGTCCTGTCCACCTGTCTATTTGTCTGTTAGACTGTGTTAGCCTCTTTGTGCGCAAAAACTTTAACTATGCCCATAAAATTTGATTGGTTGGAACTACTGCTTTCATATTTCTTATGTGTATTCCTAGTAACAAGGACTTCCTTCAGGTACCAACATATTTGACCTCTTGACCTTGAACTTGGAGTTTGATCCTCTTTCGCAAAATTTTACCAAACTATAACCTTGGCCAAAACTTTTGAACAGTTGGTGCTATGGCTTTTATACTTCACATCTGTATCCCTTGTGATAAGTCTCCTCCTTGGGTATAAATATGTTTGACCATTTGACCTTGACCTTGGAGTTTGACCAACTTTTAAACAACTTTAGCCTTGACAATAACTTTTGAATGACTAGTACTAGGGCTTTTATATTACATAGGTAATTTTCTTGTGACAAGGCCTGTCATTGTATACCTTTAATTTTGACCATTTTACCTTGACCTTTGATTATGTCCTACTTTTGAAAAACTTTAACCTTGGTTTTAACTTTTGAACAGTTGGTGCTAAGGCTTTTTTAATACCACATGTGTATTCCTTGTAACAATTAAGACCTTCCCTCAAGTACAAACAATTATGTTCCCTTGACCTTGGAGTTTGACCTTTTAAAGAAATTAACCCTTGGCCATAACTTTTAAACTGTTGCTGCTGTGGCTTTCATACAAGTATATATTTCACAGTATATTCTTTGTTCAAGACCTTTATTTGGGTAATAGCATTTTTTTTTTATCTTTTGATCTTGACCATGGAGTTTGACTTGCATTTGAGAAACTTTTAACTTTTGCCATAAGATGCCATATGGGGGCATCAGTGTTTCAAAAATCACATGTTGTTCAGTATCCAAATTGGGCATAAAACATTTACAATGATCCTTTAAAGCAGTGAGTTGAACCTAATAAATTACGACTATAGAAATTATGATAATTTATTTCGATGTATGGTCTAAAAAAAACGTTTATTATACCTCTGTGAAAACTAGCTTACAAGTGAAAAATCACTAGTAAAATAGAATTTGATTGGCCGAGAAAGTCACGTGTCCATCATGTTTGCCCTGCAACAAAACGTCGTGTTTCACGATTGTGACGTCACAATTAAACGAGTGAGGAGTTAGATTGTTTATAGCGACGCTGCTAACTTCGTTCGCGCGGTAACAACAACTTAAAATTCACCCCAAAAAATCACCTTAATTAATGGAATTGCATACAGATATTAGATTAAACGTTCTTTATTAAAATGTTTGCACTTTTCAAAATTCGTTTATGGAAATACAGCTAACATACGTCATGAGACGTCACAGTCTAGACGTTCCAAATGTCTCGTGCTGTTTGAAGAGGCGGATCTTAAAATTAAGTGAACAATGCACTCGCCCAACGGTCGCACCGTCAGCATATTATCGTTGATTGATTGTGTCGATTTAAATGTGTAAAAATGTAATGGTGTTTGAATGTTACTGGTGTGATCACACAAACTTGTCACGTAGGATTTTTTTTTAATGAAACGAGGCTATTGGTGTACCTGTAACTTGCATCTCTTTCATATCGTTCTCATCAAATGCATGTTTGCTTTATTCATTGGATCTCCTTTGTAATTCCTGCATTTTGGTTAATTCGGTATTATAAACAATTTATAGCATAATAGTGAGGGAGACATAAAGATTTCTTCGCAAATGAAAAATCATATTTCTCTCGGGCGTTGCCTTCGGGGAGTATGATTTTTCATGGGCGAAGAAATCTCCAAGTTGCCCTCGGGGAATATGATTTTTTATGGGCGAAGAAATCTTCATGTCTCCCTCACTATCATGCAATAAATGCAAACTGTGAACTTGTCAACTGCGAAACACACAAAAGGGTATCGCTGATATCATACAGAGTGTATCATTGCCTTGATCAGGAAGCAAATTCAGGGGTTTTTTTTTTTTGGGGGGGGGGGGGGCACAGCCATACATTTTCAGTTGACAGTTGAGGGGGCACTACTACCATAAATTTCCTGACAAGCAAAAAAAGGTCACCAACTACCAAAAATTCTTTGACAAGCAAAAAAAAAAAAAGAAGGTTATCAGACGTTTCTATTGAGGTGGCACAAGCTATAGTACCTATGTCTACTATAGTAATCTATATATCGGCAAAATTATTGGGGGGCACGCCCCCCCCCCCCTCCCTCGGTTCCTACGGCTTTGTTGATTAAATTTAGGGTCACTAAGGAAAGAATGTTTTGACTGGATGAATGGTCTGAAAGAACATGTGTTAACTTGTCGAGTCGGTAACACATAGATGGGGTTTGCTTATAACCAGAATGTGTCATGGTTTGATGCAAGGTCATTTGAACGAGTTCAAGGTCATCAACGGAGAAACAACATTCCTTAACTGTCTTTCTACTGGTGAGACATTGCAAGTTGATACCCCTTACAAGATTGCTTATAACCTTAGAATGTGGCATGACCTTGACTCAAGGTCACTTCTTCCTGTTCGCAGCTCCAACGGAAGACCTACTCGTTGCTTTGCAACGAGCTCTGCTCTAGTTTTTTTATACATTTCTACAGCTATGATAAACAAAATTAACACATTAAATGAAGACTGTGGTCTGTCTACTACCTTACTTAATTGACACAGTTATTTTTTCGAAGAAAGTCAAATGACATCTGTGTTCAAAAAAAGTTTGTTGGCCAATGCAAGCTGGGATATTTTACTTAATAAGCCACAGTCAAACATTGTAAATAGAAATAATTTAATTTTGGTTGTAACGAGTCATTTGACTGGATAAAAAATTTACTTTATATCATTAAAACTGTGCTGCCTATGTCACAATGACTTGTGTCAAAAAATGAACCAATCTGTCTGACATAACATTTAAATTTTGTACAATTTAAAGTCATTTTTAAGGGCAATCATCTTATTTTCTTATACTAAATGAATGAAAATTAAATTATAAGGAATGAATTTAATAGCTACTCAATTTATACGGTATAAACTGGGTTGGAACAGTTTACATATTTTTATGTACATAAATCGTGAACTGCCCCAACCCAGTTTATACCATATAAATTGAGTAGCTAGTAAATTCATTCCTTAATTAAAGCAGCTTTTTGGATTCAGATGTGATTACATACCCTTTACCATTAGATAGTTACCTTCAAGTTTTAAAGACGTCTACAATTGGGTAGATGAACGCAGAGCAGATATGAACAAATAACTTGATATGATATATCCTTGGAAATGGTTTCTCTGATGTTATAGCATATGCTGGTGGTAAAATAGCTTAAAAGAAAGAGCCATTTGCTCAAAAAGAGGAACATCTGAGTGCCAACTTACCTATGTTACTGATGGCTGTGGTGTTTGGGCCAGGCTCTGTTGTTAATCCAGGCGCCATGACAACACCCCAACAACCATCCAATCATTGCTTCCAGCACCTACAAATAGCCATACATAAAAATAGAAATACATGCAATTAATTTTGTACATGAAATCATTGAATATTTCACAGGTAAATCACTGATACATAATAAAACAAAAAAAAAAGCAGGAGATATTTGGGTCATGTGCTTAGGTATAGAGAGCATAACAAGAATAGCTATGAAATGGACTCCAACAAGAAAGAGGAAATCTGGAAGAAGAAACAGCACATGTAGGAGGACCATTGAAACAGAAATGAACAGGGTAAGACTACAACATCACCAGAATTGTAAATGATAGAAGCCAAGGGATAGACCATGTTGACACCTTATGTGGAGATTCAATGCATGAAGAGAATTAATTAAGTCTAAGTCATATAATTAAACTTTCACACTAAGGACAGGAGTAAGCTTTGATGCACATGAACAGATGAAATGCCTTAATTTTCTGAAGTTCATATTGGCAAGAAGCAACTCAAACAATAGCTCAGTAAACAAAAATCAGAATTCACTAGATGCCATTAAGATGCTGACCATCTCAAAGAACCCCCCTTTAATAAATGCAAAGGGCATTGGGGTAAAAGCGGATTTGCAAAGGACAATAATTGTTAGAAACTTATTCAGACTCAGAAAACCTTTCCTCTTTGTGTAAGAATTTGCTACTTGTATTTTTTTTAATAAGAAAAACAAGAACCCCTTTCCAGCTTTGAGTTAAATCTTATTGACTTTATGACAACCAAAAATATGTAACTGCAAGTAGTCTACCCCCTACCCCACCCCATCCTACCCAACATGGAGTTTCACAAAATCTCTTCTGTCTTGACCTTCGACCTGATTTAAAAATAATACCCTAATTGATCAAACCAATCTACGGGTGAAGATAAGTCAGGTTTGTCCAATGGCAGAAATTATATACTTCAGACAAAAATTTTATAAAAAAGATCACAAGGTCACTGCACATCCCTTTTCAGGTAAGGTATGAGCCAAACTAGGCCAAGTGAAGAAAAGTACATTCTATCAAAGGATTTTACACAAGGACTTGTTCTGACCTTGGTCTTTGACCCAGACATTTATAAGAAGGTCAATGGAGCAAAGCAAACCTGTTACAAGGTTGAGGAATAAATATTCCAGAGGATTTTATACAAAGAACTTGGGTGTAGGCTAGCACATACTGTATACACGGTATTTTGACAGATGTCCATTTTGCATTCATCTTGAATTATATGACAAACTTGCAACTCTCCAGATTATAAGTAACATCATCAACAATTTTGTAAGAAACTGACATATATTCTGTCTAAAATGGACTAAAGAAATCAATGTCTTAACCTAGGCAGAAAAAACATTAATTCTGTAGAATGCAGTCTCACAGAGAGTATTAAATCTCAGAGAAAAGAGAAAATGTGTTAGCTAGAATATGACAGACTTGTAATTCAATCTAACGTACCATATAATTCTTCCTTATAACCATTAATCCTCTGTCAAATAGCCCTGCTCTGATTACTGGCTAGGATGATGCCCTTAATGATGATGCAACTTGTTCTTATGGAGTACAAGTTTTATAGCAATGAAAGAGTTAACAGGAATACTGATTTGATTGGTTAGAGATACATAACACAAACAAATTTTCTTATCTCCTATACAGAAGAGTTACATTGCTATTTTTTCAATATTTCTTTCAATAAAAATCTAATTAGAAAATTTTTATTGTGTAAAATGTAAAAATAAACTCCTGAAATTGTTCACAGAAACTTTACAGTAACGAAACATATTATATATCTCTAGAATGCTTCAAAAACTATATTAAACTATAAAGTTACATTTTCTCATTTTTCACCAAATTATGTGGCTTAATGGCCAAACATAAAGTTGTTTATCTAAACAAATATCACTTCTTTAGTGAAATACCACTTAAATTATTTGAACTGATTGGTTGACTAATGTGTTCAAGTTTGGTTGGCTAATTATGCAGATAGTTTGAAAAATTACTTGATTTCCTAAACATACAGTCAAACCTCGTTATCTCGAAGTCAAAAGGACCAAGAAAATTCTTCGAGATAACCAAGGATTTGAGATATCCAGGGTAAAATACTGAAGGAATAACCAGTTCAAAATGAGTTCGACATATCCATGTATTTGATATATCCGTGTTCAATATACCGAAGTTCAACTGTATTATCTGCTTTTTAAAAAAAAATGTTCATGTAATAGTTCTTGTGAATTTTCTAATACAGATAAAACTAGAAATATACCCAAAGGGCATAAATGCCCCCATTAAAGGTATATTGTATTGCAACATGAAAAGAAATGCAAAATGAGGAATTGTGGGGTCATAGGGAAGGTCAAGGTCAGAAAATTATGGCACAGTTGAAAAGGTAAACCAATATATATTCGTGTACAATTTTGACAAAACTATCTTAATTAGTTTCTTTGAACTTAGCTAAGTGCAAAATTGGAGAAAGTTATGTCAAGGTCACAGGAAATGTCAAGGTCAAAATATGATAACACAGTTGAATAGTTCACACCAATATGTATCAGTGTGTGAGTTTTGAAAAAAAATATCTTGAATAGTTACTTTGAAACTGAGCTTAAAAATTATGGCACTGTTGAATAACTCTCACCAATATGTATCAGTGTATGAATTTTAGTTAATACATCTTGAACAATTTCTTTAAAACTGAGCTTAACGCAGCATGACAAACGGAAAGACAGTAGGATGCTGTGAGGGATGAAAGGACAGAAGACAGACATGACAAATACTAGGTATATGCCCCGGCCATATTCAAATAGAAGGAGTATTGACCCTTTGATAAGAGAGATAACTTCCCAATATAAGTCACAAACACTGACTTCCTGAATGCCTCTTGCTAATATTTTTGATTTATTATAGCAATTGACTGAAAACATTTGCACCCAGTTTGTTCTTAGATACAAATTAGGATATTTCTATCTCTTTATAAATAATGTTAAAAATAAACTAATTAATCAATGTACCATATAAAGTATTTTCATTATAGGTACAATTATTTTCATAAAAAATAAGTTAATCTGTGTCTAATTAAGTTTTCCCTTTCCACACATGCAGGCATTTCTTAAAATCCACTTTCCAAGTAATAGAAATTAAATTTACAACTATAAAATTATCTCTGATGAATTTCTTTGTTCACGTTAAAAAAAATGGAGAACATTTTTGTTGGTGATGTCCACAGTGATAAAAAAAAAAAAAAAAAAAAAAAAAAAAAAAATTCCATCGTTTCACAAATGGTTAATGGATTGGTACTTGTATTACTTTAAAAAGATACTTTGAGTTATACTAAGCTTCCAAACAGTTAAAGTTGTCAACCATTAAATTATTACCCAACTAAATAATTATCCAATCAAACTTTGACATTTTTATTTTTTTTGATGAGATATTGATCATTAGGCTGATATGATTTAACCAAGGACCTATATACAGTCCCTGAAACGTTCTACTTTCCCATTTTTCCGTTCGCTCACCGTTCGTTCAGCGTGCGTTCACCGTTCGTTCAGCGTGCGTTCACCGTTCGCTCTCCGTTCACAGTTTTGCGTTCACCGTTCACCGTGCGCTCGCGTTCACCGTTCACAAAGCGTTCAGCGTTTGCTCTTCGTTCCGTTTACTTTGCGTTCACCTTGCGTTCAGCGTTCACCTATCGTTCAGTTTTCATTGTCATTCGGAACTCCGAAGTGAAAGGACTTATCTTTTTGTAGTTAAGGAGTTACAGGTTTTTTTAAATTTATTAACTAACATATCGTGTTTGAAGAATCATTATTTCATGAGGAAAAATATCTACAATATATATTTTTATTATTCTAACTTAGCTGTTAGGTTATTTATTAAATTACTCTGGAAAATAAATGTTGTTACAAGCACATTCTGTACCTATGTAGAACGATGCTGAAATATTAAATTTAACTAAGGGCAATGTGCAAATACTTCAAACACTGCAACATTTTGTTTTTTTGTTAAAGACGACAAATCGTTAATGGAGATATAATTATTCAAGTCAAATAATTACGCAGCAAAATTACGAAAATATTTATTTCTACTACTTTTTTTTTCAATTACAACAGAAAATATAATAGAACTAGTTCTGAGAGTTATACATAGTACTGCGGATATCCTGTTAATTTATTATCTTTAGAACGAATTAAAATGATAGTGTGGTTAAAGGAAATATTTATTTAAAATGTAATGCACTACAGAATTTCTCTACTGTAATATGTAAAGTCTATAGCTATAGAGAAAAAAATCCTTCTTCACCGTAACTTTATATGTTTGCCATTCGATATGATTAATACCCCCCCCCTTTCACCCTAAATCGGTGACTTAGTCAGTACCGTATTTCCAGAATATTTTAAATAACATTTAAAAAGAAAAAGCTACGGTCTTTTTAGAACAAAAATTTCAGTCTCAAAACAAACATGCATCTAAAAGAGTCACAAAACAATAGTAGATCAAAATGTACACGTGTCGGCGGTGGTATTTGAAATTGGCAGAGAGTATGTTTCACATTCAAGTGTTAATGCCCAATGTATTTTACTAATTTATTATTCAAATGTTGGAATCAAATCTAGAAATGATAAAAATAAATGTTATAACTTGTTGGAAATACTCGCACTTCGTCTTCGATGTGACGAAACTTTCACACCTGCACAGTGTCGAATGATTTTGATTGACAGGACAAGCACGTGGACTTCGTGTGAACTTGAAGCAGGAAAATAAAAACGAGTATGACTGTCAAACAAATGGATATGATTTGTTGATAAAAAAAAAAAAAGAGTTACTTTCACTGTCTGATATATTTAGAAAAAAATTCAAAGTTTTTGTTTGATATAGGTACAAAACATTTGGTGAAGCCTGAAAGGAGGAGGGGGGGGGGGGGGGGGGGGCTAAAACTGAATAGTACTCTCTCTCTCTCTCTCTCTCTCTCTCATTTGTCTGTTTAATAAAAACTATAACACCATATTACTTAAATATCATGTTCTGAAAATTGAAT